TGAAACCAGTTCACCTCAGTAGTGCGTTGCGAAATGTCTTCGACGGTCGTACGACCGTCCTGAAAAGGCTTTGTACCACTCATAAACTTGAGTTTTCGATAAAACTGATTCCCCATAAGCCTTTTGTAGCATTCGCAACGATTCTGCACACGAAATTTCGTTCGAAACACAAAATTTGATGCAAACTCTTTGTTCAATATTTTTTTCCATTGTTTTTTCGCAACGCACTACTGAGGTGAACTGGTTTCAACAGCTGCCGTAAACGAACTGTCTGACAGATCGCTCTCATTTTTTGCATAGTAATTGTCCTTAATTGCTGCCAAACTACATAAACTTAAAATATCGAAAAATATACAGCGCGCGAATTTTAAATGAGAATTTCCGAAAACTTTTCGGTCTTAATGTATAAAAGTGTTTTATTTTGCTTTATTTATGAATTGCAATTAAAAATAACGCTTATAGTACCACAAGAGTAGGAATTTTCGCACCATAAAGAGACCACGGTTTTTAATATATAAAAATATAAAGAATATAAATATAAAGAATTAATCGACGAGAAAATATCGCCTTTATATGGGTTCCTGGACATAGGAACATCGAAGGGAACGAGAAAGCTGGCTCTGACCCGCTCTGGTGCTTCTCTGAATGCGTCTCAAGCGGTACCGATTTATGTTACCCTTGAGACCATTAAGAGAAGTACTTACCTCTATTTTCTTTAGCTTGCCAATAACAAATGAAAGGCACTAACTACAAGTGCAACTTTGCGATTAATATGGCCCACCTATAATAAAACTGCATCTCGGGAACTCATCAAAAGGGATAACTTTTGATGAGTTATCCATTTACTGCAGTTCCCTCTGGTCATTGGTGTAAAGGAATCCACGCAGAAAATTTGCGCATTCCTAAAAATACTTACTGCAAAAGTTGTGAAAACCTGCAGGAAAAATAAACCATTAAACACTTTTTCTGTGGATGCCCTGCTTTGGCTTTCAGAAGAAATAGATTTTTAGGAAGTTATTTCTTTCACAGCTGATATCAGACTGTTCATCGATAAGGAGGAAAGATCTATTAAATTATCTAAATTCGGGATGGATTTAATCTATATTCTCTTATCTTAGAGGTTTTTGCGAATAATGTGGTAACAAAACGATAAAAAATCGCTAATTGAGGTACATGGAAAGTTATTTGATAGCCTGCTACTGCAACCAACCAATGAGGAATTCACGTGAATAAACAAATATAGAACTACAGGGTTGTAAACCTAAATAAATCGATATATTGTTTTTGTTCGATGCCGTTTTTACTCTAACAAAGTGATCGGTTTTTTTTCGGTTTTCGGCTTACGGTTCAGTCTAGTTTAAAATCCCCATTTCTTAGTATAAGCATATAGATGTGTAGATTCAGTTTAATGATTAACTCACTTAGTAAGTTCCATGAAAATTTACTTATTGAATTATTATTCAATATATAAACTTATTGCTGATTAAGATTAAAAGGTATCTAATAAATAGCTTAATAAGGAGAGTAAATAAAGAAAGAGAGCAAAATCCGTTTTGGTAATTTGTGAGTATTTCGAATTGGAAGTATACAAGAAATTTTCACATTTGCAGAGGACTTATTCCACACTGAAAGGTATTATTATATACAGACACTGCATCGGTGTGGAGTGCCCATCTGTTTTCTTGCCCCAACACACACAAGAATTTAAGTCCAATCGACCTTTGGACTCGTCCCCTTGAAGTGGCTAGGTTTCTTCGACTGGATCCTGGTTAGTTTCAAATTACTCCCACCCCTCCCCTTTCCCTCATCCCAACACTCACTCCCACCTTTTCCATTAATTATCCCATGTATTCGTCTTGTAATCCTTTCATGTTATCTGCTTTCAGGTCCCGGCGGGTTACAACAACAACATTATATACAGATATTAGGCGGGGCTTTAATTAAGTTAATAACAATTCAGCAACACGATGTCCGCTTTGTAAATAGTCTTTCAAATGGCTTAATGCCCATTTGCCTTCGGAATAATGACTTCTTTTGAACATTCAGAGCATTCAATGTCAACGATTTCTATTCAATAATGTTTAAATTTAGTTTACAAATAAATAATAACTTGATTTTGATGAAGAAGGGTTTCTATAAAATTTATCAAGCTATACTTTGACTTCAAAAACAAATGTTTCTAAGAAAACTGAAAGTTAAATAGTTAACTCAAATATTAATAGCTTTTCATAATCACTAATACATATCAATTAAAAAATATCTTATGAACTTTGGAACTCTGAAACGTCATAATTACCTATACTCGAGTATATTCGAACACTTTGAAGCACTATATTATATAGTGTACCATATACTTTTTAACGGTTAAGTATTGTATATCCTTATTTGCTAAAACTAACATTATACATCGCTAGCAAATTATACATTCTCTAGAGCATTGAAAGCATCCTTTGAGAATTTTAATTTTATTTTGAAAGATATAAAAATTTTTAATTAGCATGACATGACGCGTAATGTTATATATAAAAAAGCCGATAGTAAATATTGAAGATCATTATACGTTAGAACAACTAATTATTAACATAAGCAAAATAAAATATATAATAATATTTCTATTATACCATATATAAAAATAATTCAAATTATTATGAAATGAATGAACCTTCTGTTATTTTTATAGCTCAGTAAAGAGAAATATACTCTTTATAAGTATCTTGAAGGCGCATGTCTATTTCACGCAAAATACAAATCAACAAAGAAGACTCTTAGACTCTTAAAGTAGGAAAATGTGCAAATTATTCCATAAAAGCCGCAAATAATCCAAAACAAAACAATATTTTTTTAAGGAACAAAACAGATGGAAACATTGTCGTATGCTTTTCAGTTTACGTTGTTTACAATTTCTTCCTAAGTTGAGATAAAAATTAGCCGGCAGTGTTGTCTAACATGTGTAGGTGTTCGACAATAATGAGGAGTAATTTTTATATTAAAGTCCCATCAAGCATGAATCCAAAGGACAATGAAACATAATAGGAATTCGTATGAGGCATGGGCTTTTGTTATTTCGATTAATTTTATGACATGGCAATGTTAAACGCGCTGACGACGTTCTTCTCTCAATGTATGTCATATATAATTTATGACTCAAGTGCCACTTTCACAAAATGAAATTTAATTTATTTAATTGACATTAGAATCACACAAAAATAACAAATATTTTTTATCTTTAGGATAAATTTTTATATACATACAGTCAGTATTGCAGCAAATTTAGTTGAATTTTGCTTTAACAACGAATTACTTTAAGATAACACCACTTTAAGTAATATTACTTTTTAAATTATTTAATTAATTATTTAAATTTCATGAAAGAAATTAAATAAATTTTGGCAACCGCACACTTTCATTTAAATATTTATGAAATGGTGAGAAATTTGCGACGCACTAGAAAATTTTATTTCACATATTCAGCATTAAAATGGATTGAAAACATCTTTTCAAAACCCCACATGAGAGCATAGAAAGACGAAAACTAATTTTAGAATTAATAATAAAGAAAAGAATAAAGAATTAATAAAGAAAATATCGTAAAAATTGAAAAATTAAACATATTTGTATATAATTCTAAATATAAATCGAAACGTAAAGTATAGAAAAATATTAAACAATAACAGTGCACATACCGAATCATACAGGTTGGATTGTAAGTTTTGTTGTTAAAACAATCGCATATGGAAAGTGATGGTGAGTAGGTAAAGAATACTCCCCATAGCAGGTGAACCTACTTATGAGGTGTCCACTTATCAGATTGATTTAGTGTTTAGAAATATCAATCATAAGCTGTTGGAGAAGACAGTCCAAAAGCTCATACGATTCATTAACAAATATGTTAGGTTTTTAATCTTAACAGATTAGAACTCAGATTAATCACTGATTTCTTAACTGGATATGATCTTGTTCTTTAAAGATGGTGTACCAGTCCCTAAGATTCTGCGAAAAGAAAAGTAAAACTTTCGCACACCATATTTGCTCATACCTTGCGATTGCTCGAAAACGAAATAAGTACCTCAATTCAACTTAGAATATACCGAATGATGTCTCGAATGTGGAACATTGCTAAGTTTAGCAATAGTCTTGATTTATCCAGACTAGATCACAAAACTCTCTAGAGACAGCACAATGGATTGAAGTGAACCGTTGTTGCTTTTAATAATAACAAAATGTAAAAGTATACGAATATTAAGCATCTAGGTCTAGGTAAAGGGGTTAAGTTTGAGTGTGCTGACAGATTTATTTATGGATCAAAAGTAAATGCTTAACACGTGACTATAATATGCAGATCCAAACTTGGTTTTGCCAATACTTGATGCACGATGAAAAGTTTTCTAGAAGATTTTAAGCAAAGATCTGATAAAAATTTTGTAGTAAACCAACTTTTTTAAGAGGTTGTAAGAATTGCCGGGTTTGGCCCCCAGAACCGCTCGTTTTCACAGACGATTAAGCGCCGTTCACCTCTCTGAACATGTATAGAAACATGTTGAGGAGTTAACGTGGTTGTCACATAGTTATATGTATTAGAAGACATTTTGCTTCCCTTACCGTGAAAACATGTAAAAAGTATTAGTAAAATCTGCAAAAAACTTAATACTTAATTTGACAGAAACTAATATCTCTTAAATATGTACATTATCATGTCAGAAATATATTTAATTCTATTTTAATTAAGATAAACAAAATTGGATTTTAAGAGTTCTGTTTGTTTTCTGTTTAAAGTTAACAAAACTGAGATAAAATAGTATTTCGAGATGATTACAGGAGCAGTCGAAAGTGTGTTCTACTACTGATTGTAGGTCCGTTCACCAATGCCAACCCATGTTAATAACAAAAGCAACTATTGGATTATAGGATAGAAATAATACATTAAATATATTATAAATTTATAATATATGTATATCAAATTCAATGATTTAACTCTTCAAAATTTATAAAAAAATACTTACCAGCTAACAGGCGAATTTGTGAATGGATCATCGTTTGCATCGTAAAAGTCGTCCTCGCCTTCACTGCTGGAATAAGATGTTTCTGGTACCACAAATGCAAGGGGTGCTGTCGTAACTAAATAAGAAAAACATTAATGTGTTAATTATATGTATTTAATTTAATTTAAAACAATAAAATTAATATAAGAAATATATAAAATATTAAGAATAAATGAAATAAAAATAACTAAAACGTGAAATTTGAATTAGTAACTGTTAAAATTGAGATTATAATTACAGATAATTTTATTTAATTTAGAATATTTATTATACATATTGAAGATATAAGAAATAGATTTAATTTTTAAGTAAAAGATATTTTAGATTTTCTCATTAAGCCTAGAATTAACATCAATTTCGCACGAAAAATTGATATAAAATACCATGACATGAGTGTCATGTCAATTTTTCGTGCAAAATGAATGTTAGTCCTGATTTTTAAGTTAAATAAAAAAAAAAACTAATTGGATTTATATACATATATATGTACTTTATGTACGCATTATTAATTTCTAAAACATGGATACTAATTAAATTGATTATTATTGCATAGATTTGAAATTGGAATATTGCTCACATCTAGAGAGACCTGAACTACGATACGAACGATATTTACGACCTCAGCTATTATTCGTGGATAGTCATTTTTCGTGAATTCCAAAAAACTGTAAGAAACTGATGTGAAATGTTTAACAAACATATATTACAAACACCAGATAGGAAAATTAAATCACTAAGAGAAGGGAAATCTCAAAAAAAAATTGTTAGGGTAACGATATTCTCAAACCTTGCCATTTTATTAGGAAACTAGGCGTTATCGTTAGGTAAAGCTAAAGAGCAATTGGGTTAAGAATACTGCTCGTAGTATGAACATAAAAATAATTTCAAAAATTGAGGATATCTTAATGATTGGAGTTGAAGTTTTCGACAAGTTTGAAATAGGTGAATGTTTGCATTATAAACTGAAGATTTTTCAACTCTTCAACATGTAACGGAACCATGCCTTTAGTAAGGTATATACCTATAGTTTTTGCTGTTCTAAGTTTTTGTTCGCAGACTTTATTAGAAGAGAATAGCTATAAAAATGCCGTCGAGAACAGAATCATGAAACAATGAATATTGAAGGTTCTTATTGTATGTTATTAGCGTTTAAAAACGCGATTTGAAACATAATCGGTATCACTATGAGTATGTAGTAAGCCAGGCTGCTCTTAAAGCTCTTTCTTCTTGAAGTTTCAAATCAAAACAGGTCCTAGAGTGTTACGAGCTTCTGCAATCACTTGCAGCTCGGAATAATGTAAGCCTTTACTGGGTTCCGGGCCAGAAGAGAGTTTTGGGAAATGAAAAAGTTGATGAGCTAGCCAGAACTGCATCAAAAACTGTTTTTATAGGCCCTCAATCCTTTTGTGGAATAAACTGGGCCAGTACAAAACAGATTATCAAGGAAATGGAAAATCATATGCGGCTGGAGTACTGTGTAAACTTTCCAGGACTCAGGTAAAGCAAAGCACTGATAACACCGTACTCCTACAAAGACATTTTTAAATTCTCAAAATGTAATTTAAGGTTGATAACGGGTTTCATTACAGGTCATTATGGTTTGAAATATCACCTTCATAAACTATAATTATCTGTTAACTCGGAATGCAGATTATGCCTCAAAGATGAGAAACGACCATGCACATTCTTTGTGACTATCCAGCTTTAATAACGCACAGAAGAAACCTGTTTCATAAAGAATTTCTATCACCAGAGCAGATTAAGAACTCTTCTCTAGATTTAGTTCTAGACTTTATACACAAAGCTTTAAGGGGCTTTGTTTAATCAATAGTGAAACTGGTACAATAGGACTCTTCTGGCCGCAGTACCGGCTGTTGGGCAAGTTTCACGTCTATTCTTTATTATTATTATGCAGGAGTGAAGGTGCTTATCGCAAGTTAATACTGCCGAAAAATTCCGCTAATTATTTAGGAAGCGAGGCCCAACCAGTTCCATATTTAGCTATCATACAAGTTAGGTTCTAGGAAAGAAAATTGAGTTATTATCAAAATATTTGCATTGAAAAGGGACTAAACTAATTGAACTATAAATTACAACTAACATTTTTCAATTGAACTATATATTACAATCTACATTTTTTGGTTTTAAAGTAGATAACATTTAGGCTAGTCTATTTTTTTACTCGAAATCATAAAGTTAAAATTATAATTAAATAATACTAACTACTTGGTATTAGTTGTATATGAGGTAAATCTAACATATTTATTTTTCTTTTAGTTAGTGATTAACTTCAAATATTTTTTACTAAAAGTATAAATCTGTTTTTCTCATACTTTTAATGCAGCATATATACAACAATAGTGTATTATTTTTTTATAAATTCAATGATATTCAATTTCTTATCAATTTTTTATTGCAAATCTTGATGCAAAACACTACAACCACCTAATGTTACCTACTTACCATCGGATATGATAGATGGTAAGTGTCTAAGGTCTTCGAATTGAACTATTTCGACATCACAAACAATGCCATATTCAATACCGTCCATTACAGAATCGAAAACATCTTCATAAGTTGACTGAATATCTTTGAAGTTTAGAGAGTTTTTTATTAATAAAACATTGACTTCGAAAAATAAGTGGGCATAAGAATATAACATTTCAATGATGTTGTACAAGCGGATATTTTGAGAAAAAATAATAAATAAATAAAAAGAGTTATTAAAAATACTTACAAAAAATAAAAATTACAAAAAATAATTTAAGCAGTGAAAAACTATCATTTTGAAGCTTTGTGCATATGAAAGTATAAGTTCAAAATTATTTTTATCTATTTATGAAATAGCAACAATTTTACTGATAAAGTAATTTTTTATGTTTAATTTATTTCATTATTTAAGTTCGTTTTAATGCATTATATATACACCACATTATATGAACTGTTTAAGCAGATTTAACAAGACAGCAGAACTAAAATATTCTTCATTTTTATTTTATACGATAAAGCATATATATGTATTTAAACTGTAATTTTAGAACACCACGCCTTTAGACGAGTACAGGTATGTTAAATAAACTACTTATATGAAGTTATATATAATGATATAAGATAATGAATATAACAATTATTCATAATTACCATTATTATAATAATAATTCATAACTATTATTATAATAATAATAATTATTATTATATTATTACTATAGATTATTATATATATATATATATATTATTATTATTATTATTATTATTATTATTATTATTATAGATTATTATATATATGTATATATATGTATATATTATTATTATTATTATTATTATTATTATTATTATTATTATTATTATTATTTGTTATTATTGTTATAATAATTAATTATTATTATTATTATAATTTAGAACTCATAATTATTATTATTAGAATAATAATTCTTAACTATTATTATTATAATAATATAAAAGTAATAATATATATAATAATGAATTACAGAATAAAATATACAGTGAAAGTTTTCTTAAGTGGAAACTGACGGGAGTATCATTTCCTCTGGTTAAGAGAACTCACCGTTTAAAATTACGTACATATACATACTACACAAAATGAAATCTGGACACTAACAATATTGCACGATTAAGAGAGATCTTTGTTTATGAAAGTGTCTATTTACCAGAGCTTTTAATATACTATGATTATAATTAATTACATATGTTTTCAAGTTAGTTTACCGTTTTCCGTTGTTGAGTCTTCTTCATCGTCACAAATATTTTCCAATTTTAAACTTTTGATTTTTGTTGGTGTTTGTGGTAAAATTGTCGTTGAAGATGATATTGTTGGCAAGTTTGTCGTATTGATAGGACCATTGTAGATCCCATTGATTGGATGTGCCATATTTTTGGCAATTTGTAAATTGACAATTGAATGTTTGATATGATCTAACATAGCCTGAAATAAAAGAAATTAGAGTTTATTTTCAGTATGACAAAATATAATAATTATTTGTATTAACAATATTTAATAAATAAAAAACAAAAGTCAATGAGGAATGATTTTAGCACGAGATTCGGCCGATTCTACTATTACGACTCTATTGTGACTAAATGATACATTCAACGTTTCTGAATGCTAGTAATGTTTGTATATATAACTGTATTTATGTGGATTATGTTTGTTATAATGTTTTATATTGTACGTATGCAATTCCGGTTACTTATTATTTCTTTAGAAGAATATTAACTATTTAATGCTAGTATAAAAGCAATTTTTATTTAAAATACATGTGTAAAAATTCACAATTTTTTATTAAGTATCTGAAGTTATTTTCCATCATATGGGCCTTAATTATTTTATATTTTATAAATAAAAATGTGTTACTTAACTTTTGTTTAGTAATATAATTTAACATAATTTTTACTTAAAAATAATATTGTTAAGAAAATAACTTTATCCGCAATGGTTGTTAATTTATGAACGGTAAAAAATGATATATTACTTCAATAGGTTTAAATTTGTTTCCGAACTAAATGAATACTTAAGTGTTTAATTTATTGATTGTTTTGTGTAAAAATGCAAAAGTTAAAAACTTGTTTTTGCATTTGTTGTCCCCAAAGAAGTTCCCAGCACAACACAATACTAATGTTTTTTACCTGGGCTCACCTGGGCTATTAATGGACGTCAAATGTATTCACGCTTACAGGTGTCATGACTCACAAAATGACAATTTTTCGACGCCCATTTTTTACTCAATTTTCATTTACTTATACCGGTCTTTAAGGAATTTAAGTTTCCGTATTATTTTTAACAAGCTCACACGTGTGACATTGAAAAAGTAAATAAAATATATATAGTACAACCCTGAACTTGAAATTCCATTGGAAACAATTTTGCGCAATTTTAAACTTTAAAAATATAATTATAAAAAATTGCTTAATCCGCACAGTATTTTATAACGTTAGTATGTTATTAATCTTAAGAAATTACTAAAACATTTTAATTATTTAACTAATTAATTTATTATTAACTACAATTATTGATTATAAAATTGATAAAGTATAATTATAACTATACAATTTTTGAGGTTTCAACAAATCATTATATAAGAAAGGCGCTGTGGATATGTCATCATACAGGAATATACGAGGTCATATATCATATAGGATATATATATATATAGGATAAAAAAATATTGATAAGTCAAATGCGGCTACAATAAGTTGTTTATATATGCCAAACCAAACAAAGCCACATTTTTTAGCCCGCATATTACATGGTGATATAGTACATAATCAAATAAAGAATATATATTATATATATTATTAATATATAGATTTTCGTCATCTGACATATACTATTAATTTATATGTAATATTTTATTTATACTTATATGTGAAATATTCTTTATATAAGTGATTTATATATGTGATTATTTTACACGATTTAAGATTTTTATGCGATACTTATTGGATTTTATAATAAACTTTAGTTTTGATGTGAAAAGGAATTTTGTACTAATATTAAAATAAAAATCATATATTATAGAATAAAAATTAGAATAATTAACACATATATACACTTATAAAAAAGAAAAAAAATGTCTAAAAGAATTTAAATATTATGAAACAAATATATTTATAATATAGAAGGGGTCGAATAGAAAAGAAAAGACAAGAACACAAATTTAGTTAATTTATTGGAATTTGGCTGACCATACAACCAAAAAAAAAAAAATAAATAAATAGTTTTTTTTTTTCGTCTTAAGAAGTGTAGCTTTCGGCAAAAAAAATTAACTTTATATTTATAATAATCTAATTTAAAAGTAAAAAAATAATCAAAAAAAAAAAAATTATAAGATAAGAAACTTACACTTGTGCTATCCTGTAGCGCTTTACATTTCTCCTTTTCATCTGGATCACTAATATTTGATATACGCTCATCTATTTTCTATATATTTCAAAAAAATATTTGATTATTAACACAAAAACTTTATTAATAAATAATAAATAAAAAGTTACATTTGTTTGGTCGATTATTAATTGCAAGTAAGCATCTGCTTCTGATATGCGCCGACCTAATAGTTCCAGATGGTTTGCGCGTTTGTTGCTTAAATCCCTGTTGTAACCGCTGAGGTAAAATATGCTTTGATTATCCATAAAACGTGAGCGATTTGCATGGCGACGAATTGTGTCCTCAAGCCGTCTCACCCATTTTTCGCGCTCTTCGCTATGTTGTGCCTGTGAGTAATTTTATTATTAACTTGAATGCAAAAAATGGAGAAATTGCATATGCAACTACTATAAATACTATGGGAACAGAATTTTTTTTATAAAATTTTGAATAAAAGAGAAATTTTTTACATTATTTTTTTGGTGGTTGTTTGAAGAATTCGTTTTTAATATTTTACATTTGACATGCAAACTTTCGTAATTATTATTCTTGGTAAGTAAATTGCATGATTAATTGTATAATTTGCATAACAAATGTAAAGAGGTAAAAAATTATATATAAAAACTGAAAACTATGACGTCATTTGTAAATAGATAAAATCATTTTTATATTTTAGCCCACCTGAAAGTGAAATGTTTTATGGTCCACTGTAATTGTAAAAGTGTTATCCTCCTGATCATCAATACCAATTACAGCATCTTTCAGTCGTACACAACCTCGTCGTACACCTTTCATCATTTTTTCCTTCGACTGCAAGTAAAAAAAATTTATTATTGTTATGAATAAAATAATTCCCAAGTTTTTATTTAGAAAAGATTCATTTTCTTGGAAAGTTTTCCTTAAATATATACAAGTATGTATCCATGTACATACCATACATGTTAAATGAAAATGAATTGCTAATATCATATAAATTAGAAAATAAAATATAGTGTAACTACTTCTATAACTATCAAATATATATATGAATAAATCAGGTTTCCCCAAATTAATATATCCTTATAGAAGTCCTTTATCAATATTACCGAGCACCAACTGTTATGATTGCCAAATGGAATATTTTACTCTCTATACATTTTTATCGCTGACCAGGAATTATGCAGCGAGGAATAAAAAAATATATTTTTTTCGATTAGGTTTAGTAGAAATAATGAATATTTTGTTATAATCACTCGATCGAACCCTAGACCATCTATGAGGGCTATAATTGGCATTACAAAGTCAACGCACCTAAAATAAATGTTTTAAATTCTTTAAGATAATTAAAATTCTTTAAGATAAAATTAGCTAATATCGTTTTTGTTACTGCCATCCTTAGGAACTAAAATAATTCACTTTTATTTCTTTTAAATACTTACTATTTTCTTGACCTGAGTTATATATAGTCACTAATCTGCTAGGCCCATTTTAAATGAACAGACAAAAGTTAAGTGGAATTTTTAAAGTGAGAAATCTAGGTAATAGGTAGAAATTGTGATGGGAAATTAAGTTAGTAAGAAAGGAATGGAGTGTGGGGAATGTTAGGATTTAAAGTAAACATTTACCTAAATTCGGTCAACCATCAAATTGGGGTGAGGCATGAGATAATAGAACGGTTGGACAACATAAGTGGTTGTACTTCAGGAATGAAAGGAATAAATCGTGAGAAGTAACTTTTTAACATCTGATTATATATGTTAAACTAAATTGAGTCGGATTACTGAAGATTTAGACTTTAAGTAATACTACATCAATCTGAATAGTAGATCTGAAAGCTTTCGCCAATAGTAAACGTCAGTAATGGTTTCACTATTATGCGAAAATGTTTAATTTATTTAGGTTTTGCATATGTGGATTGACGCATTTGACAGGCTAAGGAATTATTTGATTGGATCATGCATTATATATGATTTCTAGTGCTAGTGCTAGTGGTGGAGAAATGTATGGAATTAAAAAAGAACTAAGGAATGCTGGCTTTATGTATTGCTTTGAAAATATAAATAATATTAACATTATCAACATAAAAACAAAATATATAAATTTCAAAATAGTCCCGTTATATCTAAACTGTAACGATTGGGAAAATAATTTCCAACAACTGGCAAATCATCTGGTGGAGGAAAACGTTGAAAATACAATTTTAATTGGCGATTTAAATGTCAGAATAGGAAATATACAGCAAAACATTGAAGAAATATTTTTAAATGAATTTAAATCAGGCGTTGAGTGTAGACAATCAAAAGACGTAGTCGCTAACAGCAGAGGAAAAAAGTTTATTGAGCTGTGCTGTGATTATGGCCAAATAGTGCTTAATGGAAGAACGGCAGGAGACATAGAAGGCAACGTCACATATATAAGTAGTAATGGTTCTGCGGTAAATGATTTATGCACAGTTTCACAAGAAATGCTGACATATGTAGAAACCTTTACGGTAGAAGAAAGAGAATGGTCCGATCATATGCCTTTGGTGATAAGTTTAAAATTGCAATGTGAAATACAACAAAACACGGAACGAAAACTGCTTCCGACCCTCAAATGGAAAGATGCAAATAGGGTTCAATATAGCAAAAAACTTAAGGAAAATATAAGGACAAAGCTGCAAAATAAAACACATCTAGACTTATCAGATTTAACTGATGTTATACTAAAATCTACTCCCAAAATACGAAAATGTAAGGGATTCTATACCAAAAAATCAAAATGGTATAACTTCCGATGCTTTGTCGCGAAGAAAAAAGCTAAACACTTGTTGAGAAAATATAGAAGAACAGAGAGCAGCGCTACTAGAGCAAATTACTTAGAAGCAAATAAGAAATATAAAGATGTATGTCTGAAAAGTAAAGCTGAATATTATAGAAATCTAGAGACACGTATAAACACAATTAAAAATGGCAAAGAATGGTGGAAGCTAGTTAAAGAGCTAAGAAATAGGCCTTTAATAAATGAGGTACGAATTGCACCAAATGAGTTTAAGACACACTTTGAAAATCTTCTTAATCACACGCAAACGGCGAAAGATGTGCATTATGCTCCAAACTTTATAGAAATAGACGAGCTCGACAAACCTATAATGGTGGGTGAGATATTGCAGGTCTTGAAAAAAGCGAAAGACGGAAAAGCACCAGGTTTAGATAGAATCCCTTACGAATTTTACAAAAATGCAAATACGGAATTTTTAGAGCAACTCGCGAAGGCATACAACCAGATGTACGACTCAGGAAGGGCAGATTCAAGTTCTGAACCGAGTATAATATTTCCAATACACAAGAAGGGAGATAGTTCAGTTGTAACCAATTATAGGGGTGTGGCATTTATGAACACAAAAGCAAAAATATTGATGGGTGTGCTCAATGAAAGATTATCCAGTTGGGTTGAAAACAATAACATCATGTCTGAATACCAAGCAGGATTTCGTAAAAACTATTCCACGGTTGACAACCTATACAATCTAACATCCATCGTAAAGTTGAAATTTAATGAAAAAAAGAAAGTATACGCTGTGTTTATAGATCTAAAGGCGGCTTTTGATAAAATCGCTAGAAAATTACTTATGTACAAACTGAGGAGCATAGGCGTTTCAAGCAAATTTGTAGATTTTATTGAGCAGATTTACGAGACGACAAATTCGGTAGTTTGGAACGGAAGCGAAGTATCTGACAGTTTTAGCACAATTTCTGGTGTCAAACAAGGTTGTTTGCTTTCCCCCCTTCTGTTTGCGTTATATCTCAACGACTTACACGATTATTTGGACGGTGGTTTGCAGGTGGAAGAACTGAATATAAGGCTGTTGTTATATGCAGATGATATAGTCATCTTGTCCGATGATGCAGAAACGCTACAGAAAATGATATGGAATCTTGAAACATACTGCGACAGTTGGAATTTAGAGGTAAATTTAGCCAAATCGGCAGTCATGGTGTTTAGAAAAGGCGGTAGGCTGTCTAGTAGAGAAAGGTGGACATACAAAGGGGAAGTGCTTAAAATAGTCGCTGAATATACATATTTAGGGGTAACGCTCACGCCAAAAATGATATTTAAAAAACACCTGGAAAACAGGAATATATCTGCAAAATCAAGCATAAATGCCACTTGGAGTACGTATTTAAATAACGATAAAATTTCAATCAGGGCAAAGTGGCAAATGTTCAATGCTATTTGTAGAGCCATACAAGGCTATGCGGCGCAAATTTGGGGGAGTGACATGTTTAGCGAAATAGACAAATTACAATGCTACTTCTTCAAAAGAATTTACAGGCTTCCCAATTTCACTCCAACCTACGCCATAATGCTGGAATCAAATATGGAAAGCGGGCATTTGTACACAATGGACTTGCATTTAAGATACGTCTACAAGACTTTGTTTGAATATAATGAAAGGAGATTGGCAAGAATATTGTCACAAAAAGTTCTGCAAAAAAATGTATTTTGGGCAGAGAGACTAAACGTTTTGGGAAATGAGTCAAGCCTAGTTTGGAATGATGAAACAACAAGCCAAGAATGGAAGAACAATAATTTCGTATTATTAAATCACTTAAAAGTGGAAAACAGAGTAAAAATGTGGCGAAAAGCATTGAGAAGTGAAAGCCGAATTTATAAGTACCTAGACCATAACTTGGGGGCTCAATATTTTACAGAAAGCTTCAGTCGTGCGCACATAATGTGGATTTTTAAGGCGAGATGCGACTTAATTCATTTAGATGGCAAATACAATAGAAACTGTACACTGTGCAATCTCAATGAAACGGAAAGCATACAGCACTTCTTAGGCCGCTGTCCTATATTAAGGCCGTTTAGACGAATTTGTTTTGAGAGAGAAACGTTAGTGGAAGAGGAAGTAATCAATGTGCTTAATGGGGAAAATGATCCTAACTGGAAAAAATTGATTAACTATATTACTAGTGCTTTAAAATACAGAAAACTAATTATAAATGAATTTAATACTTTTTAATTAATATTTAAAAGCATATACAATTAATTTAAATTCTGTATAATTCCTTTTTGTATTGTAAATATAAATTAAGTTTGTAAATTTAAATTTTGTAAATTCTTAATTTTAATTTTGTAAATTTTAAATTTTAATTTTCTAAACGTTATGCAAGAAAGTAAATTTATTTTAAACCAACATCTCCGACAGACGACTATAAGTCATTGTCGTATTCTTTGTTTGTTCAATTCAATATTTTTAAGTAACTATAATGTTTTTAGACTTAAGGCTTATTACTTATTTATGTTAAAAAATTTTTTTTTGAAATTGAATAATAAAGAATCTAATCTAATCTAATCTAATATGATTTCATTGAAATTATTATTGTGTGCATATTATATAGGTGATAATGTATATGGTAAATATGCGCTAGAAATTATCTACCATATAAATACAGCAAAGTTATTAATAGAATTCTTAATTATATAAGTTTTTTTTTCTTGATACATCGATCATCAACTGTGTATTAAGAAACAAACTTCGATGTTAAATGATCGTAGAAGGGATATACAATACTGGAAATGAAAGATAATAAAGAAGAAAATACTCTTGAGTAATTTTATGTCTTAAAATGTTCCTGCAGTTATAATTATTACTTATTTTAATATAACTAGAATTAAGATATAAATATATATTAGAGTAGTGTTAATTTAAACTGTTTTAATAAATAATAATGAAGAAACAGCAGAGGAATGTTTTGCGTCATAAAGATACAATGTAAGGTGCTTTCTATTACATTTTCAAATCTATGCTGATAATAAATTAAGCTTCGTTTATTAAAATATAC